AACTTTCATAGAAAATCATGATAAATGACTGATTACAAGGACAATTCTCTTGAGGTGCATTCATTTGCTGAGAGAAAATTAGCCTCAATATTCTCTACTGAGTAGGCATCATAATAAAAAAAGAAAAAAAATTTCTTATTAGACATGCCTAATAAAATGTGTGCAACTTAAGCATACAATATGTGCATAACTGCAGCACATCAGAATGTAGTACTATATGTACAATAAGAACAGTCTTCCAGAATAGTTATGCCGCAAGATATTTTATTTATTCTAATTTATTTCTAATCTTGCATGATCAGACATCTGTGTGGCATCTAGGCAGTTTTTGCATGCATGCTGTCAGTTCTTTGCTGAATATTTCAATAGTAACACCTAATCAATTGCAAAGCAAAAGTTCATTATCAGCTTACTTATTAATTAATTTTCTAGTGCCATGTTCATATCAATGATGACTTTTTAAATAAAGCCTCTGGAGATACTCCAACTAAATCGGAGAGGAGAACTTACAAGAGAGTTGCATCAGAACCAAGGTATTAATGGTCTCTATACTGCCATTTCAAATTTCATATCCACTCCAAAAACTCTAAAGAGACTGACTAATCATAATAAAAGTCAGACAGACACTTTTTGTATGGATTGCATAGTGGAAGGTTAAGCCAAACCATTCTTAGTTACAAAGGAGGAATGAGATGAAAAAAAATCTTTTTTTTTTTTTCATCAGTATTGCCTTAATTGGAACAAGAAAAAAATAGAAACAGCTGTCATTCCTTGAGTCCACCCTTCAGGCCCTTGAGTAAAGCTGATGACATTTCTGGACAAAAGAAAATCAATAGCATGCCACTTTTAGTATCTCCAGAATGTTCGGTAGTTAAAAATTTAAAAAAAGGGAGCTTGTTGCTGCACTTAGGACGTTTCTTCTGACTGTTTTGTCAGGTTCAGTTGCCTGCTGGGTATACCTATGTGTGCTTGCTCTCCCTCAGTGAATTAAAATGACTCCTCCTCGCCAAAGAGAAAGTGCCCTCAAATTGCAGGGCAAAAAAAAATTGATATCTTTGATATGAACCACCTCAAAGATAAGAGCCTTAAAAAAAAATCCTTACTCTTTCAAATATGTTATTGGATTAATATTACTTCAGTAGCTCTTGTAGACTAAAAGGGAATTGTAGAACAAATAGAACAAATCCAAGAATGGGTGAGTGCGCTCGCCCAGGGACTTGACCACAGCTCAGAGGAAACTTTTGCAGAATGACTAAAATAATTTGGGGAAATGTGTATCTTATCAGTTGTGTGTTTCATGAGTGCAAATTTCCTCCCATTTCTCAAGCAGAGCTTGGATCTCTCTGCAGCTTTCAGAATGCACAGTGCAGATGGTGGGTACTAATTGAGATGGAGGGCAGAGCTTCTCTGTGCTCTCCCAAAACGCTGTGCCTCTCTGAAGGTCGAGGGGGCAGGTGGTGGACAGGTAGCCCCAGGGCTGATCTGAGCGGTGTCAGTCTCCCTGGGTTTGCCTGCTGGTTATGATGCAAAGCAGAGCAGCTGTAGCAGATGAGTCTGTCACATGTTTGGTCCCTCCTGACAATTTTCTCTCTCCTTCCTTCCGACTCAGACTGCAGAGGTTCAGGGGAATGACTATACAGAGCCTTGCAGCAACTTGGGCAGACGTGGGAGCAGCCATGGGGGTTCTGCTCTGCAAGTGCTGTTTCATGTTCACCTCCCTTTCTTGGACTTAGATTTTATCATCGTTGCTGCAAATAAACCTCTTGAGAGCTGGCATTGCGGCTTTCTTCCCTTTCTTCCAAGCCTCAGAGCCTCTAAGGGCAGGCAAGATGGGCTTCAGAGAGATGCAAATTGTTTGCTTGTACCAACCTCAGTGCTCAAAAAGGCAGTGTTGTTCCCATCTGCCCTCCAACAGCTCATGCCAAGCCTTGTCTTTGCTAAACTCCCACTGCAGTTGACTGAGACTTCTGGGAACTCAGGGTTTATTGCCCTTCCCGCCTTTTCTTTCTTCCACGTGCCCTAGAAAAAAAGCAGAAATACTCAGCTATCTCACGTTTATGTCTCACTGTAACCTTCATACTAGTGTTTGGTCCAGACTTCTGTTCTTAATGTAGTTATGTGCTGTGTATGTAAAAGCCCAGAGGAATGTTATTTTTTTTTCAGCTGTGAGCAGTTGCAACATTCATTAGAATACGTGCCATCGAGGGGGAAGAAGGATACAACAGTGCATCCAAACAGATGCTTTCCAATTTGTGCCTTTCCATTAATGAAGATGAGATTTGACATGCAGAGCAACCAAATTTTCCTGTCGTTCTCAGGCATCTAGGAAAGTGACTGTAATGACAGAGATATTGCAGAGACCAACCATGTAATTTCTATTGCATTTTTTCCATTATACCATCAGCCGGCAGAGTGGAGCAAGAGGTTTGCTAATGTCCAGGCTTAAGTTCTCTGTAAGAGAGTGCATTGTGTCACATGTGAACCTTTATTTGCTCTATTACCACTCTGGCCTTCAATCTTCTTCGCTTGCTCCTTCCCTTTATCCGTGCTGCTTCTCTCAATTCCTGTCCCGATCCACTGTCGGAGGAGGCTTCAATACGATCCCAAGAGCGAGATTAAGACACAAACAGGGTCAAATGCGATACAGTCTTGTAAGCTCTATTCTCATAATGAGGAGTAATCACAATAGGACAGAGAGAGGAAGAAGAAAAAAAATAAGCAAGCAGGAGACATGCAGCAAGGTTAGTGACCACCACCACCAAGGTTAGTGACCACCACCACCAGTCCAGCTATGTTTCGTTGACTCCTCCTCGGTGCTATTCATCGGCTCTTGAAGAACAGTTCAGGAAAAAAAAGCACACTTCCAAAGGGAAGAACAAGCACTCCTTTTACTGGCCCCGTTCTCCAAGAGTCTGCCCACTTCCTTGAAGTTTTGGTACGTGTTGTTTGTGCCGTGTGCTCTGGTGCTCGTGGTGGTTTCCTCTTCAGCCGACTTGCGTGCAAGCGCGGCTTGGTAGGCACTGCCGAGAATGTCACTGTTCGGTTCTCGAGCGGATATGGCAGTCTTCTTGGGGACAGGATGCCGAGGTCAGGGAGTCGCAATGGTGCGGCATCAGTGTCGAGACAAACACAGTTCAAAACCGTCTCTTACAACAGGACACCAAGGTCAGGAAGTTGTAATGGTGCGGCAACAATGTCGAGACAAACATAATCCAAAACAGTCTCTTACACTCCCCACCTTTGTTTTCTCATCAATCTATTGTATCTTACATTTTTTGTTTACTTCCTTTCATCATTGCTCTTATCCCACCTCCCTCTTGTGTCCTCTCTCCTGACTGCACAAACCAGCAGTCTATACAAATAGGAAAAATGGTAAACTCCACTCCTGCAAAATGCCATACTTTCCTCCAGACTGTGCTTTCACATGGAGCCTACTATTTCACGGAATCACAGAATCACAGAATGGTTGAGGTTGGAAGGGACCTCTAGAGATCATCTAGTCCAACCCCCCTGCTCCAGCAGGGACACCCAGAGCACATGGCACAGGGTGGCATCCAGGCGGGTTCCGAAGATCTCCAGAAAAGAAGATGTCACAACCTCTCTGGGCAGCCTTTTCCAGGGCTCTGTCACCCTCACAGTAAAGAAGTTCTTCCTTATATGGAGATTAAATTTTCTAGGTTTTAATTTATTCCCATTACCCCTTGTTTTGCCACTGTCCATCACTAAGAAGAGATTTTTCCCATGTGGGCCCATTAAGCATCAAGCCAGCCCATAGGCATAAGGCAGAATTTCTGTGGATGCTCACCAGGCTAAAAATATACTTAAAACATATTCTCTTTAATTTGAGCCACCAGTAACAAAACAGAAGTGTTTGATAGTTGCTCCTTCCACCACAGAGTAGTGACACAGCTGCACAACATCTAATTTAGAAAAGTAATTTTATATGCCATCACTAGTCTGAAGTCAAGAATTGTAATGGTAGAGGGTTTCTAAAGGACATGTGAAGTTGTTCCAGGGTGAGGTTCTTTTGGACTGATGAGCAGAAGTGGCCTTTCTGCCACATCGTCTTGTGTTTTGGAGAGATTACAAATGGCTTGCAACATTATTCTCCATGAACCACATATATCTGCATTTAAATTGCAAAGGTCAGGTCCACCTGTGTGATAATTAAATATTAATTAAATAAGCATAAATTACAAAATTTGAGTCTATGTTATAGTTGAATGGGAAACCATTCCGTGCTAAGCTCTAGTACACAGTATAGTTTATACATTAGCTCAGTGTTCTCTGCAAAATGCTGAAATCAACATTGAATGTTAGGGATTTGGATACTTATGAGTTTGAAAATTGTGGTTTGTAGAAATATATGCAAAAATATTGCCAAAATAAGTGTTCATAAAGTTGTTTCAGTATGCAGCTGTAAACCTAGTTATTAACAAATACCAGGTAAATTTATTACATCTTTTCTTACCCACACCAGTGAGAAAGGAGTTGCAGATTTTAACCAGACACAGAACAGGTCTTTAAACTGCAGCCAGGACTCAGTAGAAAGCTGCCTGGGAGAGCAAATCCATGAATTAGCCTGGTCTTGCCTCCCCTGCTGAGAGCTCTTTGATATGGGGAATGCTGTTAGGTTCCCCTAGATCCCACATATCCTAGATGGGTTTATTTTCACCATGGATCTGCAGTGTTGGGTTCTGACAAGCCAGCAGTGGGTTAAATCAACTTTTAATGTCTTCAAAATACTTTTCACAAATGAACTAATTTATCCTCACAGTGGTACAGGGATGGAGGGGGTCAGTCTACCTGTTTTTTGGATAAAGGAACTGAATTGGATTTTCTCAGCAGAAATCAATTAGTTTCCGCTTTAGACTTCACATGTTGTCGCCAGTCACTCATCAGCCTAAATACTGTGTTTACACTGTGCAGCAGGAGACCTATGTTGCTTTTATTGTGCTCTGAAATAAATCCCCAGGTTTTCCTTCTGTTTTCTCCTGCAGCTGGGGTGATGCTGGTCCCTGAAAGGAAGACAGAGGATGGCTTTGAGGAGCACTTTGGCTTGAACTCCTTGGGCCACTTCCTGTGGACTAACCTCCTCTTGGATACGCTGAAGCAATCAGGAACGCACAGCCACAACGCTAGGATCATCACTGTCTCATCCGCCACCCATTACGTAGGCAAATTGCACCTGGATGACTTACAAAGCAGGTATCCATCCATTTTTAGTATGGACTGCTCTTATTAAACTCAACCAAAATTGCTGCTGAAAGCGGACCTTGTGTGGCAGGGTGGCTTTTTTAAAAAAAAGATAGCAATGCTTTTCTAGCAGTTGCTGATATCCTTCATGCTTGAACAAAGCTTCCTGCCTGGGGTCAGGAATACAGATAATTGATAACCTGGTAAACCGAGTCTTTTATTAAGAGCCTCGAAAGCCTTGCTTGCGTTGTGGTGTTTTGGCTGCGGTGATGGTTGCAGAGGCTGGCCGCAGAGACACCTCGTCAGGCGCCTGCCTAGCCAGGGTGCTGCGAAACG